CTGCAGATTCAATGCCCTCTTTTGAAATAAATTCTTCTGGGGGGAGGGGTTAAAGAGAATTTTTAATGTGACAAGTGTTTTTTCTGTAAGATTAAGACTTTGCCTCAAGACTTTGAAGGTTGACATTGTGTTAAGCAATTGTTGAGGTCATATCATACTTCAGGTTTCAGATTTTTTTAAATGATTATTTCTTTTTCCCTTTTTTGTTGGAGCTGTCTTCAGGTTGGGCAGAGGGAGGACCCATGCTGCTTGGGCATTTTCTGCTGCCTCCTAGCACCAGCCCACCTGTAATTGATGGTGCAGGAGCCAAGCACACCCCCACCCCCACCCCTCCCACCTGCACAGAGTTCTCACTGCAGCCGTTTCCCCTGATAGCAGAAGGGTTTTTGTTGCATTTCATGCTGGAATTTATTTTTAAGTGCTTTATATAGGAATGATGTCTTGATCTAGAAAACTAAGTTGTTTCCTTTTACTTTTTTGTGTACGGGTTCAGAAAAATGGCCAAACGAATTGCTGAGAAGGAGCTGACGGACAGGAATTGGGATCAAGAAGATGAAGCAGAAGAGGTAAAAATCTTGCAGTATGAGTTCATGCTGCTCAGGTCACATTCATTTTGAGGTTCCTCATGAAATCATTAGGATAAAAATTAAAAGGCCCTTTAAGTGCGTCTGAATGGTAAGTACCGTGGTTCCTTATAATTTAGCATAGAAAGCTACTAATTACACGGGGGTGGGCTTTTCCACTAATAGCTAATCCATAATTCTCCTTTTTAGAAGTAGCTTTTTCCTGAGTTCCATAAACTTGCCCTATTCTGAAGGCATGGTTTGGAATAAATCGTTTGAGTCACGGCTGCAGGTTATGTGATCTGGTCACGATCTTTTCACGGTGCTGGCACATAGCTTTGAAAAGCAGGTCACTGACACCGTCTCTTGCTGCCAGGCCCGCGGCTTTAGATACTAAAAGCTGGAGGTTGCCACCCTCATTCTGTGCTCCTTGAGGCCTGCTCAGTGGATCTGCGATTCCCCCAGAGCAATGATTAGTTAATGTAATACCGTTTGTCCTTGGGTTGTCCTTCTCTACTTCCTTGAGAAAGCCTTTTCCTTGCATAAAGAATAGGGCATGACCTATTTCTAGTGCCTTCTCGGCAGTCTTGGCCTCCAAGGCTACCCAAGTTGACCTTTCAGATTATTAGAATAAAACCAGAAAACCAAGGCCTTACTGCCATGAGGTCCAGGCTGAATACTAGCAACCCTGTATAGGGTTCCCAGGCTCGATCTTGACCTGAGCAGGCAGCGTCATCTTTCTCCTAGTTAAATTACTGACCTAGCAGTTAGCCCAACGCCCAACTCGCATCGCCAAAGTTTCCAAACAAAACCTGTAATGGTGTTTCCGAGATTGTTTTTAGATGGCTGTCTTTTGTTCTTTTAATCTTCTGGTAGTCTTGCACCTCAATAGTGTCTGTTCAAACATCGGACTATATAGGCCCAGGATCCCATATCGTTATAATAGCATTAAAAAATCCTGGCAACGGAACATAGCAAGCAGCACATGCATCTCATGGCCCTTCTGCAAAACCGCCAGGCAGGTACATGTAACCTGTAATACATGACTTGGTGATCATAATAAATGCCTGTGTTGCTGGCTTATATATATACTGTGTTGTACTCTCTGACTAAAAGGCTTACTGTACATCAGTGGGCTTCGACTCCTGGCCAAGCAGCATTCCACCTAGGGTCTGCCACTTAGAGTACCGTAGCATTGTCTGTTTAATTTTAGTTTGACAATATCACCATCAAGTGTATCGTGGCTCCCAAACACAGCCAATGCTGGTAACAAGACAGCAGCAGCAGGAGGCAAAGGTGAGGTATCCATTTGGAAGCATAGGAAACGGTCATTATACGACATAAAGGTGGAAAGTCCATGGCCATTAATGTTGTGGTTTAGGTGTGGCTCATTCAACAACCATGGCGATCCTCAAAAACAAAACTCTCCAAACTGAAAGGATTCTCTAAGGAAAGCCACTAACTAGCCCAGTGAAAAGTCCAGAGGGGCCTATGTCTGCTATGGAGGAATAGCGGGTGGTGGTTCTGTGGGGAAGCACTTAGCTGCTAACAGAGAAGTAGTCAGTTCAAATCTGCTCCACTGGAGAACCATTACAGCCATGGGGCAGTGCTTCTGTCAGTCAGAGTTACTAACTCATGGCAGTGAGTTTTGCTTTTTTTGTTTTGAGGATCAAACACAAACGCGAATCCCTCTCAGCACCTTGAGACTCACTATGTGAAGCCTTGGAGTTTATGTGAAATGCTTAAAGATAAAGCAGAACCAGACTACAATAAGATGTTAAAGCAACAACAATTCATATAGTGTGCTGTTCACAGAGAGTATCTATCGTGGACATTTAGGCAGTGCGTGACTCTGATGTTTTCCTTTACGAGTGTATTGATGACAGAATAATGTGTTGACCAGGCTTCTAACATTCCTGACTGTCATGTTAAATCTTAGGCGGTGGGTGTTTTGGGCTGTTTTATAAAGGGTTGCTGGGAGGTGGAACTGACTTGACAGCAGCAGTCTAGTTTCATGGGCTCTTTTGTATAAAACATGTCAGAAATTAAAAACTCATTTGAATGGCCTCTAGTGAAATGACTGTGGAAGGACTTTAATTTGGGGCACAGTTTGCCAAATGGCCACTTCTAGGTACTAGGGATCCTTTTAAATATAACACTATCTGAAGAAACGATGTTAGGTGTCCTCGAGTCAGTTCCGAGTCAGAGCAGTCCTTCATACCACCTAGCCCTGCACCATCCCCACAATGATCATTGTCCTTGAGCCCACTGTTGCCGCTGTAGTGCCAGTCCAAGTCATTGAGGGTCTTTATTGACCTGCTCAAAATATGTGAGTGCAAGTTTCACCATCCATACTTTCTGGATGTACTTCCAAGACAGATTTGTACCTTTGCAGTCTGAGGTATATTCAACTTTCTTGACTAACACCATAAATCTAAGGCTTCAGTTGTTCAATCTTCCTTACTCGTCCAGCTTTTGAACGTACAAGGGGCTACCCAAAAAACCTGGAATTGCGCTGTACGGAGCAGAGTTTTCATAGTCCAAGTTTTTCCCCTTAGGCGAGTATCAAGCAACTCGCTCTGAGTTAGGGCACCCAGTGGTGGCATCTGGGAAAGTTCTCTGGTCACAGTGAATTTTTTTGTGGAAACAGTTTTGCTCAAATCTCACTTTTTGTGATGGCCAATTTACATGAACATGCAGCTGTGGAACTTTGTTGCCTGCTCTGGAAAAGTGCTGCAGACTCAGCTGTGATGTTGAGCACTGCTTACAAGGACAGCGCTATGGGGAAATCTCGTGGTTTTCTCATTTCAAAATGGTGAAATATCAGTTGATGACAAACCACGTACTGGGTGTACAGATGGACGAAAATGGCTACTAGTAGTGCATTTGGAGTTCGGTCCACCAGGTCAGACTGTTAATCAAAAGCTTTGCTATTTAGAGGTTCTGAAGAGATTGTATAACTGTGTGACAAAAGCCTGATTTGTGGCAGACAGACTGGTTTTGCCACCACGACGCTGCACCTACTTATGCAGCCATCTATGTGCCAGTTTGGGGCAAAAAACAGCATGCTTCTCTCGCCCCACGCACCTTACTCACTTGACCTCACTCCATGCAACTTCTGTTTCCATGAATGAAGAAGGACATGACGTAGAAGAGGTGAAGAAAAAAATGAGGGAGGTCCTGTCAGCCATCCAAACAGATGAATTTGACAAATGTTTCCAAGAATGGAATCACAGATTTGACAAATGTATTAAGTATAAGGAAGAGTACTTTGAAGATAAGGTGTTTTGTAAAAAAAAAAAAATTAAATACATAACTTGGGGAGGAGGGTTCCTTTTCGTGGGTGTATGTCTACCCCCTCGTATATGCGGTGATTGTATCATGTCTTTGGTCAGGTGCGTGTTACTGTTCAAAGTGACATCTTTGCTTTTTAATACTTTTAAAAGAGGTCTTGTACAGCAGATATGTGCAATGTATTATGTCTTAATTTTTTTGATTGCCTGTATCTAGCATATTTTTATATGTTGCCATCATTATTTTCTAAATATTTACTTTCTACTTGAGTCCTTGGTACCAGCTCCTCTTTTTCCCCTCCTTTTTCCCCCTCACACCCTCATGACCCCTTGTTAAATTGTAAATACTGTTTTCAGATCTTACACCAATCACTGTCTCCCTTCCCCCACGGTTTCTGTTGTTCATCCCCCTAAGGATGTGTGTGGTTATATGTCGATCATTGTGATTGGTTCCCCCATCCTAATTATTTTTCCCCCCTAATTCTTATTTTTAAAACTATAAACCAAACCCACTACTGTTGAGTCGATTCCAGCTCAATTCCTATAGGACAGAGTAAAACTGTCCCTATAGGTTTCCAAGAAATTTAAATCTTTATGGGAGCGGAAAGCCTCATCTTTGTCCTGTGGAATGACTGATGGGCTCACACCACCAACCTTATGGTTAGCAGCCCAACACTTAACCCCCTGCACCACCAGGGCTTCTCATACTCACTGCCATCAAGTCACTGCTGACTCATAGGAACCCTTTAGTAGAACTGCCCTGTAGGTTTTTGAGCCTGCAACTACTTAGGAGTATTTGCAAAAGATAGAAGGTTTCCAAGGCTGTGAACTGTAGCGTCCCGGCCTGCGGGACACACGAGCAGGGCCCTGCAGGGAAAGGCGGACCTGGGTGGAAGAAAAGACATGGAGACGTGGAGCAAGACAAAACGCTGATCACGCTCCATTTATTTGGGCAAAGCTGGGGTATATAAAGGGGAACTGGGAGGTGCATATTTTAATAAGGTGTGCTACACAGCATCCAATCCAACATGTACATTAATGAAGCGTAAGAACGTTAACCAATCAGCTGCAGGTAAAAAGGCGCTCGCTAGTTCTCAAAGACGTCCTGCATGCAGACTAAGGTTCATCGGGCATCATGCAAAGTCCATCTTAGTCCAGTGAGCGCGCTCGGCATTATTAACCAATGGGTGAAAAGGTCAACTCTTACAACAGCCCGTGCTACAGAGCTAGGAGCGTGGAGGTAGGGTTGGGCAGGAATTAGGCAGGGCCAGTCCCCCACAGGTTTAGCAAATGAAAGACGAAACTTAACAACCAGGAAGCAGCCAAGTTCGGCTCCGTGGCTGAGGCTAAGGCTTTAATGGCCACCGGCTCCCAACAGTGAACTTTAAGGCCTCAACTCTCTTTGGAGTTAGCAGACCAGCGTTTACCCAACAGTGCCATTCACTCACTGCCACTGCCATCAGGTTGGTACAAACTCATAGCAACCCATAGGACAGGGTAGAGCTGCCCCTGTGAGTTTCCCAGACTGTAACTCTATGGGAGTAGAAAGCTGCCTCTTTGTCCTCTGGATCGGCTGGTGGTTTTGAACTGCTGACCTTGTAGATTGCGGTTGAACACATAAGCAGAAGGCACCAGACCCTTAAGAGTACACAAGGCCCCCTTTAACTAAAGGCCTTGAATGTTTTGTGGCTGTTCTACAGGGTGAAAGAATGCTTGAGTAAGAGCAAATTTATGAAGCGGAATAGTAAAGGGAAGTCAAAGGGCAGCAGTTTACCACAAAACGCCTGCTGCCATAGTGCCCTTTTTGAACTGTTGGCCAAGTGGGCTTTTATTAAAGCGTGCATGTGTGTGTGTGTATGTGTGAGAGAGAGAGAGAGAGAGAGATGGACAAGGGTGTATACTTAAAAATGTAAGTTGTAAAAATCTTGGTTTGGAGCATCTGGATTTCAGAACCAGCTCTATGGTCTCTAATATACTGTCCAGTGTTCGGATAATAGACTGCTTCTTAAAACAAATTTTGTTCTAGATGTTATCTGTCTATGAATGTATCTGAAATTTGAAGAATTTGTTAATTTTTCACCAAAGTTTGGGGGATATTTGTCGTGTCTGTATGTGTGTGTGTGTGTGTGTGTGTATGTGTGTGTGTGTGTACACGTGTCTACAGACTGATTTGAAGCCTGGGACATTTCTGATGCGCCTAATTAGCATTTGCAAGCTAGATAATATATTTAACCTCCCTCCTCTGTCATCTTTGTTGTATGTTAACAGTATTTGAAAACAGTTTCTATAGGAGTATGTTCTAGCTTTTTTACTCACTTTTGGCCTTAAATCCTCTTTATCTGTGCACTCCTGCAGGTGGGAACGTTCTCAGTGGCCAGTGAAGAAGTCTTGAAGAATAGAGCCATCAAAAAGGCAAAACGGAGAAGCGTTGGATTTGAAGTGAGTGCTTTTCGTGTGTGGTGTGTGTTGTTGAGTTGGGGAACTGTTGAGTTGTGTGATTGGGGTCTGAGCTGCAGAGTGTTTCCACCTCCAGGACAGAAGGGCCAACCGAGATACCCTAGACACATGTGTTCTCATGCAAGTCCTTGCTAGGGGCCCGAGGGGTGGAGTTTTACAAAGTGTGACTTCTGTGCCTTCAAAGGGGTGTTCTTCTGATTGAGGAAACGTTCTAGACAAGTGACATCTTTTCCCAGTGTAACAATACAAATCACTGCAATGCTGGACTGTGGTCTTGTTTCCCAAAGAGCAAGTTTGTTTGTAAAAGTCACACTGGGACCTGCCTTGTGAATGAAACATTTGGGGTAGGGGGTTGGTGAGAGAGACAGACACCTAGTGTGTGGGGAGCCTGCCCTGCTATGGAGCCGGACTGGAGAGCTTCTCAGTCAGTAGGGACTCTTCGTTTTTAAGGTCGCCCATTGTTGCTTTTGTTAAACCAGCAGTTCGTACGTTTTGTAGTGGTTCTAGAGCCAAGTTGCTGTCAGCAGTTCCCCAAGTAGTGATAAATTGCCACGCGGCTGTAACGTCTATGTTACGTTGTGGTTAGATGCCACTGAGTCGGTTCTGACCCACAGTGACTGTGCAACAGAATGTGCCATCCTCACAACCATTGCTGTGCCTGCGCCCACGGTTGGAGCCTCGCATCAATCCATCTCCTTGAGGGCCTTCCTCTGTTTTGCTGCCTCTCAACTTTACCAAGCATGATGTCCTTCTCCAAGGACTGGTCTCTTCTCAGACCAACGTATGTAAGGAAGTCTTGCCATATTTGCCTCTAAGGAGTACTCTGGGTGTACTCCTTCCAGTACAGATTAGTGTGCCCTTTTAGCAGTCCGTGGTACTTTGAATTTTCTCTTCCAGCACCACCATTCAAATGCATCGACTCTTGGGCCGCCTCACAGATCATCCATGCGTCATTGCTTCCCAGTGATGGCTGTCTCCTTGTGGTGGGTTTTAAGTCACCTAAAATCAAAGAACCCTCAGAATCTGAATTGTTACCTGCATTAAGAGGCCATGCATAACGGCATCCAGCATTTTTTGTCCTGCTTCTGAGATATTGCCATCAATGTCCAGTCAGGGCCAGTAGCCCCTGACATGCTGGTGATGTGATTGCGACGTCTCACTTTGTGGAGCAACACATTGACAGTAGACGAGCTCCCCATGTGGAAAAGGGAGCCATTCTTGTCTCGGTCATTTGAGTGAAGTCGTGACTCTGAGTGCTTTATGCATCTGTGGAACCCATGCCCTTCTTCAGAGGGGCTTGAGGGCTTGGGAGCACTTCATGCAGTACTAGTACAGTAGCCCAGGGGATTGGGTCCCGGAAGCAGATGCATGCCCCTGGCGAGGGGCCGCGGGCACCTGGAGGGCTTCATTGGGGATGCCCAGCCTTTCCAGAGCTGCTTAGGTGGGATGTGAATGAGCTCGGGAGGCGATAGCAGGTGGCTTCTAGAAACAAATGGGGCTTGTTAAAGAAGTCCAGTTTAGAGAAGGGGTGAGGATCCCTGGGGCTGACAGCTGCAGAGATGTTTCTCTGAAAATGTGCTTTCACTTGGCTAATGGGACGATTTTACAACTTTCTCAGCAGATGATCTTGGACAAGTATTGTTACATTCGCAAGTATGGAAAGTCTGTTAGGGTTTAGTTGTATTGAGAATGTGCTTAGATTCTTTTTCTGGGCTAGGTGGTGAGTACGTGAGTTTATGACCTAGTTCTCTGTTCTGTGCTCATCTTAAGGGTGCACCCTGCACTTGAAAAGGTGTCCCACATCCGAGTTGGCTAGCATTCCTGACTGTCTCAGTTAGGTTCTATGGGACCAGCAGCTTCCTTGTCACGTGGGTGTGTAGGGATTCAGGGTGCTGCTGGGCACTGTCTAACGTGCACCCTTTCTTTCTATTCCAGTCTGACAGTGGAGGGGCTTTTAAAGGTTTTAAAGGTTTGGTCACAGCTCCTGGAGGAGGGAGCGGGTTTTCTGGCTTTGGGAATCTCTCAGGCGTGAAGCCGTTGGGACTATCCAATGGAAACAGTGTGGCCAGCACCGCCGTCTTCACCAGCACAAAGGCAGCAGCAGAGACCAAGGCCAACTTTGGTGAGCAGTTTCCTTTCCGCATCACATCCAGTTACCATTTGTGACCAAGAACTGTACAAGGGTGTTCTTACATTGATTTATCCTGCTACTGGGGCTCTGAGCAAACGCAGGGTGATAACAGAAAGCAGAGAGATGGTGACTGTTGGCAGTAGTTTACACAGCTAGAGGGGAGATCAGGGGCTTCTGTCCTCAGCCCTTCAGTGACTAGCTGTGACCATGGTAAATCCCTTTGATAAATCCCTTTAAGCTCAGAATTCTCCACTCTGAAGGCTTCCCTTCCCATCCGCCCATATAGGGCCTCCATGACCTTTGGCCACCCTGCCCGTGGGTTGCTGACCTGCTTTGAGGACAGAAGTCAAGAACTCTTAGAACTGGCAATAGAATGGAATTGACACTATTGAGCCCATTCCAAATCACGGCAGCCTTACGGGCAGAGTCAAACTGCTCCCCAGGAGTTTTGAGATGATAAATCTCCATATAGGGCAGCTGTTGGGTTTGAACTACTTATTTGGATGTTAACAGCCCAAAACATGACCCACTATGATACGAAGACTTAGCTGATGATCTTGATGCAGTTCCATTTGAATCCACGTCACTGACGTCAGCATTCTGCTCTCAAGGTGCTGACTACTGTGTGTATCTCTCGCACTCGACCCAGATATGTGCCATTGGACATGCCCTGGCATAAGCTCTCCTCTGACCTGGGCATGGTCGTGTTGCATTAGGAGGCGTGGCCACAGACACGGAAAGTGCCCTGACAGTTCTGTTTGGGAGTGGGCACCTGGAGTGTGGGAGGACCAGGGGTGTTTGTGGATTTTCTCAACTCAGTGCCCAGTTTGATTGGCTCTTAGGAAACCCTCTTTCCTGAGGTTGCACTGAAGCTTTAAAGTGGGGCTGAAATGACATCATGACGGCTGAAAGGACGCACTATTACAGAAACCTAGATTGTTTTATCAAAGGGGACACTATTACAGAAACCTAGATTGTTTTATCAAAGGGGACACTATTACAGAAACCTAGATTGTTCTATCAAGCCAATGCTAGCTAAGCACCTTTTCACTTCCTCCAGGTTCTGTGACTTCCAATGGCCCCAGCTCTTTGGTGGAGGCCAAGATGTCCAATTCCAAGGCGAACGGCAGCAGTCCGCAGCCCTCGTCAGGCTTCTCAGCCAGCGCTGTGTGCCCCAGGAGCGCCTATCACAAACAGTTAGCGGCCCTGAACTGCTCCGTCCGAGACTGGATCGCCAAGCACGTGAACACCAACCCACTCTGTGACCTGACACCCATCTTCAAAGACTACGAGCAGCACCTCGCTAGCATCGAGCAGCGCCATGGCCCCGGGGGCAGTGGCAGTAGACCAGAAGCGCAGCCGCCACCGCTGTGTGGGCCTGCCAAGTTACAGCAGGAATCACCTTTCCTGTTGTCTGGCAATAAGACTGAGGCTCCGTCTGAGAAGGCAACTGAGATTGGGTCTGAGACAAAGACAGACCCTGCCCTGGGAACCACAAGTGCCTCATTCAGCTTCGGCAAGAAAGTAAACAGCGCGGTCTTGGGTTCACTGAGCTCTGGGTCCCTGACTGGGTTCTCATTCCCCTCTGGAAATACCAGCTTGTTTGGCAAAGATGCTGCCCAGAGCACACCAGGGGACTCGCCCTTCGCCACCAAGGCGCCCGAGAGCCAGGCAGAAGGCAGCAACGAGTGTAAAGGTAATGAGGAAGGAGTGGTGGTTGATCTCAGGTGTGGTTGGCTCCTGTCTGTAGGAACAGGCCGGGTGGGCTGGGTTCAGATCACGGCTTCAGTACCTGGTCTCCATGCGCTCCTTGTACTGCTGCTACAGAGTAGACCTGATCTGTGGGCTGGTTGTGATTGCCTGTCTTTGTGTAGGAAAAATAGCCTCAGTGAGAGAAAAGGAGCCCTGGTGGCCCCGTGGGGTTAGGCTGCTGGCAGCAAGGTCAGGGGTTCAGGCTCCCCAGCTACTCCCAGGGTGAACAAGGCTGGCTGTTCACGTAAAGATAGCCTTGCAAGGTAGAATTCGGATCACGATAGTGGGGGGAGGAACCATTTAAGAACTAGAGGAAAGTTGTATTTTTCATCGTTGCTACATCGCACCCTGACTGGCTCTATCCAGAGGATGTACACTGGTACAGATAGGAACTGGAAATGGGGAATCCCAGGCGGATGATCCCTTCAGGACCAGTGGTGTGAGTGGCAATACTGGGGGCATAGAGGGAGGGTGGGTTGGAAAGGGGAAACCGATTACAAGGATCTACATGTGACCTCCTCCCTGGGGGACGGACAACAGAAAAGCGGGCGAAGGGAGACGTCGGACAGGGCAAGATATGGCAAAATAATAATTTATAAGTTATCAAGGGTTCATGAGGGAGGGGGAGCAGGGAGGGAGGGGAAAAATGAGGACCTGGTGACAGGCTTAAGTGGAGAGCAAATGTTTTGAGAATGATGGAGGGCAAGGAATGTACAAATGTGCTTTACACAAGTGATGTATGTATGGATTGTGATAAGAGTTGTATGAGCCCCTAATCAAACGGTTTAAAAAAAAGATGGATAACCTTGGAAACTTTCTAGAAGGCTGCCATGAGTCGGGATGACCTCGCTGTCAGTGGGCTGGTTTTGGGATTGTTAATGAGAGAGAAACACCTGTTGACATTGTTTTTATGAAAATGCTATCACGAGTACCCCTGAGTTGGGTTGTGAAACGAAGGTGCTTAAGGAAACCTTGACCCCTTTAGCTGACCCCTCTGAAGGACCGAGGCAGGCCTTTCCTACCCCAAAGGGCGCTAAGGCATTGTGTTCCCAGGAGGGACCTATCCAAGTTTCCAGAGACAGTCCTGGGCCTCTGGCTGTGGTTCTTGTCTGTCCGCAGGGCTGTGTCCCAGTGGGCGGCCAGAAAGAAAACGCTGGCCTGTTTTCTTAGTCTGCAGGGTGGGATCATCTTACTTGAATGTGGGTCTTTGCAATGGTGGCTATGTAGACATTTCTCCTTTCGGAGTGTATGTGAGCAGCACAGAGGCACCCTGCTGGCATTGTGGCTTAAACAGTTCAAACATGCCTGCTGCTCCCGAGAGACTCAGCATCAGAGACCCTGGGGAGCAGCCTCCTCTATATTGTACAGCAGCTTAGAGTTGCAGTTGCCTCTGGGGGTGGGTGGCACCAGCAGAGGAAGGGCAGTGGTGGCCTGCTACCTTGGGCATCAAGCCCTGTAGAGTCTCAGCTCTGGCTTTGCAAGCTCCGGTGTAAAAGGGAAGTTGAATTTGAACTCTCAATCCCAGGGTGGCAGTTATTTTTCTAAGGCAGTGATTCTCAACCTTCCTAATGCCACAACCCTTTAATACAGTTTTTCATGCTGCGGTGATCCCCCAACCATAAAATTATTTTCGTTGCTACTTAACTGTAATTTTGCCTCTGTTATCAATCGGGTAACCCTCATGAAAGGGTCTTTCGACCCCCAAAGGGGTTGTGACCCACAGGTTGAGAACGGCAGTTCTAAGGGATTGCCACACGGTGCCCCAGAAGACTGGGAGGCTCCTGAGCTGGGGACTCTCCAAGAGCCTCACCTCTTGGAGCCTGGGGGCCATTTTGGAGGCCTGGGAACTGCTTTTAACACATGTCCAAGGAGATGCTCAGATACAGTGGTCTGAGAAAGGTGGTCTTCTACATACCTTCAGTTTGTGGCTTGACTTTCTCTGTGTTGTACATAGTTCCTGGCATGCTCAAAAGTAGAGAGACTGAGCTGAATGCCAGGGTCACCAGCAGTCCCTTCTTCGGGGTCAGTGTTGGGACTTGGCTCAGAGTAGGCGACGTTTCCAACCTCAAAGTGACCCTTGTCACACGGTGTTTGGATCCCAGTGGTGTGGGCATTGGGCGAGCCGGCGAGTGTGCATTTGCATGATGAATATGTTTGGAACATGGTGAGAGTGACTTTGACTGGAGCCCTAGATCCCCTCAGCAAGGTTGCCACAGACCTTCCCCTTGTGAACTGGGCGCCAGCGGCCCTGGGAAGGGGTTTTCCAGCACTGGGAGTCTCTGTCTAAATCTAGTGACCCACCAGGGAAGATGTGGCATTCACACAGATCTTCAATGACATATGTTTGCCTTTGGAATGATTTCTTTGACAACTTCCCCCATTAAAAAAATGGATTGTCCTGTTTTCATTGGCTCTTGTTTATACTAGTTAATTCTTGGTGTGGTGTGGTGTGGCCTTGGCCCCAGGCTGGTTGCAGGGAAGTACTGTGTGGGTGGGGTTCATTCCAGGAGAAGGATGCTCTTGTTACACTGGGTTTTGTTAGACTGCTTTGACAAAAACTATACCTACTTCCATGTGCTTGTAGGTTGAGGTGTGGGTCTCGTTTTCACACTGGCTGAGTGGTGTTCCTCGTTTTCTTTAAAAGGTGGAGATGAAGAGAGTGACGAGCCACCTAAAGTAGTAGTCACTGAAGTCAAGGAAGACGATGCTTTTTATTCTAAAAAGTAAGTATAGACGGAAGCTGCTCCGCAGGCCGGGCCTGGGCTGGGAGAGTGCCTCGCTTGGTGTTCCCCCTCCCTCCTGTTGGTTCTGGCTCTCCGCTGCTCGTAGGGAAAGTGCCCCTTTTGGAAGAAAGCCCCAGGACTTGGGGGAGGGCCTACTGTATCTTTTGCAGCGGAGGCCGGCCACCTCTGATGCTTCCTGGGACAGGTTTCTAGGAAAAGTCTTAGAATGAGGGATCTGAAGAGACTAGCACTTTGTTTCTCTTGTTTTTATGTTTAGTTATAGGTAGCATAAAGGCAGGGCTCTGACTGAAAGCTAATTTTCTAGTCACAATGAACCAAAAGAGCCATCCAACTGTGGGGTGTGGTAAGTGCCCAAAGAAGATGCTTGAGGTGGGCATATGGCCCTGCCCTGCCCTGCCAGGGATGCTTTATTTCCCGCTGACCTCACACAGATGGTGAGAATCCTGAGGAGAGTGTCAAAGGAAGAAGGAACAGGGCGGGCGAAGTCCTCACGTCACAGAAAGGAAGGGCGGGCAGGGGCCATGCTGTGATTTATTTATTTTTCTACTTAAGAAAATACAATTTTGGATGGTATTATAAGAAAGTTTTATAAGGACCACTTTAATTTTTTTCATTGAGGAGGGCTTTTGCAGTTATCTAAACATTTTCCCAGGCTTTGTGCTTTGGCCGTGTCAGTTAGGATCAGTCAATGATTGATCCTAATGCTTTGGGGCGTATTTGTCTCCCTTCTAATTTGGGGGTATTTGTCTTAACTATTCATTGAGAAGGGGACGAAGGCTTACATGACAGACCATGGGTTTTCCATAGCACCTGTCAGCCCCTCTCCTACACTGCCGTGCCCACCATGAAGCATCACTCACCCAGGTGCGTCCGTCTTCCCTGGCCGGCCGATTACATTCCTCCCCTCCTCACACTTGTAAACTTTGTCTTGGGTCAGGGCTGCCTCTTTCATCTCAGCTGGTAGATTATCCTAAGGACTTCTGAGGGGTTCATGCCTCCCTAGTGCTAATGTTTGTCTTAAGCTGGTCTGCTACTTGGGGAAATTGGTGGGCTCGGGTTCCTGTCCCACACCCGAGGATGACTGAGGGGATGTTAGCACAGGTTAGCCCACCACATGCAACACTTGTTGGAAGGTTGTGGTCCGATTTGGGGCCTGGAGCCTGCTCACACACCTGTTCTTTCTTCACCACAGGTGCAAACTGTTTTACAAGAAGGACAATGAGTTTAAAGAGAAGGGTGTAGGCACGCTGCACCTAAAGCCCACCACAAACCACAAGACCCAGCTTCTCGTGCGGGCAGACACTAACCTAGGTGGGTACTGTGCCAGGTGTAGGGCGGCCACAGGCCCATGGCTGCACTTTGTTGTAGGCTGTTTTCACATGTGATTGTTGGAGTGTGTTTGGGCCACACAGCCTCTGAGACGTCTGGGTGCTGGCAGACGCAAACCAAGCGTCATAGTTAAAGTGGGTTTGGTTGCCCTTTATAGGCAGAAAGGTGGGTGTGGTTCTCCTCTATACGGCAGGAAAGGTGCTAAACATTCTGGGTGGATGGGGCGGTTTACTGAACAGAGGCTGCTGACCATTTAGTGCAGTCCTCTGGCCTCTCAGTGTGCCCTGGTAGTGCCATGGGTTAATAAGCATTGGGTCACTCACCAGAGAGTTGGCAGTTCAAGACCACCAGTTGCTTTTCAGGAGACAGATGGGGCTCTCTGCTCCCATAAGATTATGGACTCGGACACCAGTTCCTTTAGTTGCCACAACTCAGAACTGACCACACACAGTGAGTTTGGATTTGTGTTTTGGCATAGCATCGATCTGTCCACCCAGGAGAGAGAAAGGCCTTGCCCCAGGCAGAAGGAGCCAGAGCTGTGCCACAGCAAAAAGGTCAGGGGTCATTGCTGGTCCTGGCGGTGATGTCACAGTCCAGGGGAGACACCGGGTCACCTTGGCTTGTTGCTCCTCAAACACAAACTTTTCCTGGTTCAGAGAGGATGGAACATTCTGGAAGAATTCTGCAGGTGTAATTGTAGTAGTCTCGGAAAGGTCAGAGGGCGAAGTCAGCAGGGCCTTCCTGAGCCCCAGGTGTAAACCCAGGGAGTCTAAACGGTGTCACTAGGTAACGGGCAGTGTATTGAAGGCTCTGGTGTGTAACGAGAGTGTCTCTTCTCGGCCTCTGTGCAGGCAACATACTGCTGAATGTCCTGGTATCGCCCAGTATGCCCTGCTCCCGGACCGGCAAGAACAACGTGCTGATTGTCTGCGTTCCAAATCCACCTATCGATGAGAAGAACGCCACTGTCCCCGTGCCCATGTTAATTCGGGTCAAAACCAGTGAGGATGCTGATGAGCTGCACAAGATTTTGCTGGAAAGAAAGGAAGAAGAAGCATGAGGCTGCCAGGAATGGGTGCCACACCACCGCTCCCTCGCCTGCCACTGTGGGCATTCTGTTCTCCTCTCTGCTTTGACGTTCTAAGAACTTCGAGATACGTAAAACGTCAGTGAGGAAAACAAGTATGGCCAATAAAACCTTTGAATGTTAAGTGTCAAGAAACTGTATTCGCCCTTCTTAGGAACTGTCCAGCGAGGACCATGTTTTTGGACAAAGCCTTTTGGAAGATTTTTTTAAGTTCATTTATTTCCTTAACCGGAAGTGATTACTTAGCGGACTGCAATCAGGGTAGCAATGTGATTTCCCAAAGGCTTCCCTCAGTGGCCACCCTTTGTGCCCGCTGACTGGGCCCCCAGCAGTGTTCTTCCCCGGGCGCCTTTCCCACCAGGTGACAGCGTTGGGCTTGCTTTGCTGTGATTCCTGAAGAGTTTATTCTGGCCAATCAGCCTGTTTTGTGTGTACAGACCGTGGTCTTTGGCCCTCTGGGTGGCTATTCGTGTGAACTGCCAGGAGCAGGTTGGGGCGGGGCCCTGTGTGTTTGGGGTTTATGGTTATCTCTTGCGTGCCGCTCCTGGGTTCCCCAAAAGGCAGTTGGGATCAAGGGGGATTGACCAGAAATTGGTTTTTAAAGCACAGTGTCAAGTGGGTGCCTTCCGGAGAGGGAAGTGTAAACCCTTGTAGGAAGTTCAGGCAGATAGACAGGTGGGTGTTCTCAGTGGTCCCCTGGACGGATGCAGATAGACAGGTGGGTGTTCTCAGTGGTCCCCTGGACGGACACTTGTGTTCCTGGGTGACGTCCGGGGGAGCCTCGTGCATCCTTGCCCTGTGTGTGCACCTGGAGACGCCAGGAGATGACGGAAAGCTGTGTGTGACTTTGCTTTGCCTTTAACTTGAGACAGCAGTACATTTAACCTGCAGTGTCCTTTTTACTTTCTGAAGGGTCAGGTATGTCTGCATCCTTTCCCAGGGAACTAGGGTCAGTTGAGTGCAGGAACACACCTGTCTTGTCAGGCCAGGGCAGTCCTCTTTGCACCTTCTCAAGCCCTCTGGCATGAGGATTTGGTGCACATTTGACGTGACATCCGTAGTTGCTCATTTCCTCTTGTCGATCACCTTCCGTGATCCAGGCTTGGGTCTGGGCCGGGCCTGGCTCCTACACTCTGGTCTCTGAGCCATTGCAGAGTTTGGCTTGGAAACATGAGTCAGTGGAGTGACTGGATGGTACTGTTGCTGTGAAAATGACGTGTTGCCATCGAGTGTAAGGTGTGGGCAACCCATTTCAAAGCTAAGTACTTGAACACTGAGAGGCCTGAGGTGAGGTGCCAGCCAGTGGTCCGGATGTGCTCCCCACTTCATTCCGGATGCCCTCGGGGGTGAGGCCCCACTGTGACTGGCTGGCCAAAGGCTAGGGTGCATAGGCATTCCTGCGTGCAGTGCGAAAGCCCCAGAGGCCTGCTTGCCCACCTGTTAGACCAGCCGGTGGTGGTGGTAGGACCCAGCCCCACTGGGGCAATTGGGTTCAGTGGCTAGAAGGGCAGGCAGGACTCCGTCTGGTGCCTGATGACCACCCCCGGTGCTCTGCAGTGGTGGCCAGAATGTCCTGAAAAGAGCAGGAAGAAGTGGTCTCATAAGTCGGAATAAATGAGTGGGTGGGTGTGACCTTCCATTTCTCCTCCAACATTCCCAGCAATGTTCTGCTGCTAAAAGACTGTCACTGTTCGTGAAAATTACAGGGAAAATGTGCTTTGTCCCATGGCTCCAAATGGGACGTCTCCTCAGTCAAAGCCCTTTCTACTCTGGAGCCTTGCTGGTCTGTGGCTCAGAATCGTGATATCCTCCGCTCTGGGGGTGACGTGGCAGGGAGCTGCCCCTGTCCCGGGCTGGCCGAGCTGTTCTTTTCTTAACTCTTTGGTCTTTCCTGCTAAACCCTGACCCCTGGTCCTTTTAGTTGGCTGTTTATCTTGGAAAGGAAGCTTTACAACAGACGCTTAAATGAGGGAACCTGGGCACCTGTACCCTCTCCATGACCCAACTCAGAGTGTCAGGATGTCTCTGGTCTTGTTCTCCAATCGATCTGGTTGTTCTGCACCTGTCTTCACAGGTGCCCGCTGTCCACAGAGCTGCCTCTGCTGTGAGAACAGCCGGCTAAAAGCAAGTGTCCCGTCCCCGAGGCCAAGGGAGCTGCTTTCCACAGGAGGGCCAGCCTGGCTGCTTACGCACGGACCTACTTTCTATAAAGGGCGGTTTTACAACTTCCTTGTAAATCATATTTTCCATATGCTGCATGCCAAAAAGAAAAGCAACAAACCACCCTACCTGTTCTGGGGTCCAGGAGAAGAAAACCTGGCATATTCCCTGGACTCTTCCGACCATGGCCTTCACAGAGAAAGCCTCTGCTTCAAGGCAAACAAGCTGAGCTCTGTTTGTGGCTTTGCTGTTGAAACATGTTAGCAACTGTTAGATCTGGAAGCTTTGCAAACAAAAGGCTCTGGCGCTGCCTGCCTGCCCCCGTCCCATTTCTCAAATGCTGGAAGTGGGTCTCTTAAAGAGGGGGTGTGCCCCCTGGGGCCAGGAGGTGGCCTCCACAGCCAGTCCCTGGTTAAGCCGGGGACAGAGGACCACCTCATGCCGGCACCTCCCCCCACAATCAAATGGAGAAACTTTTCTTTTTATTTCAAATATGAAATTATTTTCTAAAACAAGCTACTTGAACTGTGCAGCAGTGTAATCTCAATCTGTACGAGTGTGTGGCTGCCCTGCTGGGGACGTGTCACAGCCCATGAAATGTGAATAAAGGACATAAACAACCTGATGTGTGGCACACTCCTGTCCCTCTGTGGGACACTGGCGATGCTGTCGATTGGGAAGGGCAGCGGGAGACCCACTGGAGGCCAGGGAGAGGCAGCTTAGATTTAGAATCCGGGATGACAGTGGGGCCACTTTCTGACCAATCCCCTGCAAACCTCAGAAGGGCTCAGGAAGCCATATCCTGGTGAGGTGTGCCTATCCAGGCCCTTGGTCCCAAACCTGAGCCCTACAAGGCCATTGTGAGGCAAATTGTAGTGATAGGGAGGTCCGTGACTGCGCCTGTGTCTGACATTGTAATGCAGGGGTGACCCTAGTCAGGTCCCTATTCTGAGTTTCTAGGTTACTTTGCAGGGATCAGGCTCCTGTGTGCCCCATAAGGTACCTGACCTAAAGATGTCCCTAAACTAAGGTGACCAGACGTCCCGCTTTTGGCGGGACAGTCCTGATCTTTTGGCGTTTTTAAAAAGTCCCGATTTTTTAAAAGAATGCACGACAAGCTAGTAACAGTCTATTTGGTCCATATAGACCAAATTTTTAATCAAGAACCACCACCACCACCCTTCCCCGGTCAATGGTGCCCCACTTTAAATCTGGTCACTTTACCCTAAACCATTAACACCCACTAGGAACTATTGAGGTGGCATTCACCTGGGGTGATCAAACACGGGTGGCATTCCCTGGGGGTTTCAGTCAACACTCAGCTCCTAACTGAAAGGCTGGAGATTGAAGTCTACCAAGAAGCACCTTGGAAGAAAGGCCTGGCGATCTTGAGGGGAGACACATGCAATGCTATGGAGGGAGCTGGGCCACGGTGCCCCCGTGTTGAGACTGCTCGACTGACCCCAAAGAGAAGGAAGCTGTCCAAACAGCCCCACCCGGTTTTCATCCCTGTTTGCATGGCTGGTGGGGGAATCCACGGTTCCGATTCCCGAGCAGTGAAGCATGGGAGCTTTGCCAACTCGGTGTGGGAGGCTCCCAGACCCCTGGGTCACTCCATCAGTCATGGTCCACATGGCACAGCACTCACGCCTCTAGATTGAAGTCCATAGGCTTGTAATCTCACAAGATGATCCTGCACCGTTTTGAGAAGGGCTGGGCTAGGTCTGGGGCCCTGTACCTCGCTGAAGGACTTGGCAGCACATGAGGACGGTGGTGGGCGTTGCAGGACTAGACCAGCTGCTCACTGGTGCTTCCTTACAGTTAGGGGAGTCCCCTGTGCCTGGTGTCCTCAGCACCACTTAAAAAAGCAAACTTGCCATTGAGTCGATGCTGACTCAGGGACCCTACAGGATAGGGTAGAACTGCCCCTGTGGGTTTCTGAGACTATCACTCTTTACGGGAGTAGAACACCCCACGAGGAGTGTTGGTGGTTTCAGACAGCTGACCTGAATCACAGCCCAGTGCATAACCAGGAGGACATAAAGGTGCCCCCTTAAGGGGCACAACCCAATTGGCATATGGGATTAGCTACAATCTTACAAAAACTGTTTATTTCCCAAACTATTGAAAATTCACTGAAGGCTAAGGTGAACTTCCGGGGGGTGGAGGGGGGCGGGGGGGGACAGCCTGTTTGTTTAGGCAAGTCACATTCTGAGGTGGAAGATCTTGACCCCAGGTGTGGGGAGGAAGGCCCTTGTTTAGCCAGGTGGTTTGTATGGGGGTGGGGTCAAGGGCCAAGCCTATGAAAGCACAGGGCAAAAAAGGACCACCTGACCATCTGGTTTGTCATCCCCAGAAACAACGTGTCCTGTCATTTAAGCACTGGCACACAAGGGGCAGCATGTCCCCAGAGTGTATAAGCAATGAACTTGGTTATTGTAGGACGACATTACTGTGCCTCTGCTTCTCTGTGCCCGAGGGTTTCTCCAGGGCACAGCACTATTCTAAACTGGGCCTTGACATTGTTCCTACACCTGTTGTTTAGCAGCGCAGGTTAGGGGACTGGATGGGGTGGTTGCGTGCTGCTTCTGGTAGACTTTCTCTCCAAGGTCACCATTTCAGGGGGCTAGGGACTTGTTAAGGAGCTCTGGGGTCACAGTGGTTATGCATTAGACTGAGAACTACAAGATGTACAGTTCAAAACCGCCAGCTTTCTACTCCTAGAGAGTTAGTCTTGGAAGTCCATAGGGGCAGTTCTACCCGGCCCTATAGGGTCACTGAATTGGCATCAACTCATGGCGATGAATTTGAGTTTTTGAGAGGGACTGCCTAATAATTCAGAACGGTGTCATCTGGCAAGAGAGGCTTTGTTCTTAACCTGTGGGGCCAACTTCCGTTTGAGCTCAGCCATCTTGGTTCAGATGTTTTACCTCCGGTGACCTTGCAAAATCTGTCACTTGACAGGAAGTCCCTCACTGGATTGCTGACCTTACATATATACACCTCTGGGCTCCCGCCACCCCACCCTCTGCCCCTACTTTTCTTCCTCATTTTCTCCCATGTTCCACAGTCTCTGAGAATTCAGCAGGAAAAGTGTGAACATGCCAACACTGGGCTTGTTTGTATTGTTTTGCAAAGCAAGTGAGACCAGCCATTCCCCCGCCCCACCCTCTCATTTGTCAAGAGTGGGGTCTGAACCTGAACTTCTGGGTTGGGACCTTCTGTTCCGGGTGTTTTCTACATCTGGGAGGGGTTTCTAGAACATTCCCTAGGTAAAGCTCAGGTTCATACAGTATAACCAGAAAAGGGGACACTTTTATGTATGGGTCTAAGGGCTGAACCCCAAACACAGCGCTGGAACTTAGCGACACAGCACATTGATCAAGCTGAGCTTCCTACAACGAAGCAGGCCAGGGGCCGATTGGCAGCAGCATCTCCCACAGGTGGATCTGGGATGTTGTCAGACATGTTAAAGTCACTTGGGTCAAACCTCAGGGAAGAAGCTTTCCCCTCAGGCACGTGGAGATGGAGTCTAGCGTTCTGGCCAGACCGTCTTCTCTATTGCAGTGCACCTGTGTTATTCAGTCCCAAACGCCTCTGGGCGGTTCGGGGGAGGACACGGGAGGGGAAAAAGTCCACATGTAACAGGCACAGCCACCTTCAAAAGAAACACAGGGTTGTAGAGCACAGCTGAGAGCCCCAAACACTGATGAGAAACCGTTGCTGTGGGCGGTGAGGCTTGGTGAGGCCAGCGGTGGCAAAGGTTTCTGGAACTACCACTGGCCATTAGCATACTGACCAATCTATCCACCTTTGCCAGCAGGGATGCTGTCGCGATGTATTTGGTGAATATGACCAGGGGAGCCCCCAACCCCAACCACACTGACTGCCGTCGAGTGGATGCGACACAAAGTGACCCGATAAGGCAGGGTAGGACGGCCTCGGTGGGGTTCCTAGATTGTAACTCTCCAGGAGTAGAAAGCCCAGTCTCTCGCCAGTGGAGAGGCTGGTGGGTTCAAACTGCTGGCCTTGCGGCTCACAGCTCGAGGCATCGCCACAATACCACCAGGGCTCCCTAGGAAAGCCTCCCAGTGGTGAAAACCCTCAGCAGGTTGTACCTACAGGTGAGGTTTCTCAGACAGAATTCACCGAAGGCCATGAATCAGGGGCAAGGAACTGCCTGCCCAAGGACCACACAAAGTCACACCGGCTGACATCACACACCCCACCAGAGCAGCCCAGTAACAGCCCCCGCATTTAGGGGTGAGCTTACTAAATGTTTGACCGGCATGGCCCAAGAAAGGTGTTATAAATACCCAAATGGTCCTTGGCAGAAAAAAGGGTTCCCCACCCTTGCCAAATGACCACCATGGGCACTAAGACCAGCTGCCATCAGGCAAAAGGGCAAGGGCTGAGAAGGTCATTTGGTCAGCAGGACTCAGGGACTGGTGCGGAATCTGAAACTCGGGGCTGGAAGGGAATCACCAAAGTGCCCGGGAGCCTTGGGCAGAATACAAGGCTCTAGGGACCCGTAGCATTGCTCTCGGGGCTACGAGACACATGGGGGCACCAAGACAAATCTGTCGATGGATGTTTAGATTTGTAATCACTCCCTCCAAAAGAATGATTTTTTCAAATGTCTAAAAACGCCGTGCAGCATGAGAGCAGCAGAGAACATTGTATGAAGACATCCCTGTAGTTCAGTGGTTCTCAACCTGTGCGACCCCTTTCACAGGGGTCCCCGATTCATAACAGTAGAAAATGACAGCAGTTAAGTAGCAACGAAAATAATTTTATGGTTGGGGGTCACCACAACATGAACTATATGAAAGGGTTGCAGCATGAGGGTGGTGAGAACCACTGCTATAGTTAGTTACGACCATAGACACACATTTTGTAAACCTAGCTTACGCGAGTCAGAGTTACCGACGAGGCAGGAAAAAAACCCTCCTTTACTTAGTGAAGCGTCTAAAGCGCTCAGGCAGCGCTGTCATTATTACCCAGTCACAGCGGCACATCCAGTCCCATGGCCTTCTCCGTGGGCATCCTTGTCGCCGCTGGTTTCGTCAGACTTCTGGTGTTTTGGCTACAATATTGTCATTGTTGTTATTGGTCATTTGTGAGCCTACATCCCAAACGGTTTGTTTTTGGAGAAGGAAATATGAATTAAAGGAGACGGAGCTATATTTTTTAAAAATGCCTGCTCAGTCATAGATCATGTTGTAACTAATAATGTTGTAATTCAATGTAGAAAGATTTTACAAAACAATTTTCGCCGTATTCATATACATTTCAGCAAGTTACAACTTGTCTGCTCACACAGTAGTCGATGAGGAAAATCTAACAGACATGATGGAAGTGTGGTGCGGTCTTCTGGTACAGGAGGGCCAGGGGGCGGTGGGGAGTGGAGGAGGGTGTGTGTGTGAATGACGACCCTCATGATCCCACCGGTGAACACAAACCCTTCCCTGTGTCACAGCCACCAGTGAGCCCTCACCCCAGCCTCGGGGGGCCAAGCGGCTTCGTGTCTGGGATGTCCCAGGAGTCTCCTCCAGTGGTGATTGGCTCCAGGGACACAGGGAGGGAGGAGGCCTTTTGCCACTGAGGATATGAGAACCAGTGAACAGAGGGGAAACTAGTGGGGCAGCATGTGTTACCCCCCACTTGACCTCCCCAGGTCCTCTCCAGAGAAGGCAGGGCTGGACCCTGACCACCTGGCCCCCCACTGTGGACTGCCTCAGCTCCAGCCCCTGAGCACAGGTGAGCGCAGTACTCCTCCCTGAGGGTGACTACTGATGTTTTCCTCAGAGATGTGTCATCTAGCAAGAAAGCACTGCTTCCTGATACAGTGCTGGGAGGAAGCCCGCCCAGGGAAGAATCCGGCCCTGGCCCATGGTACTTGGTCTTAAAAATGCATATAAAACTCCAGCCACATTGGAAACCTGCTGAGAACAAATATCCCAGTGAAACCCATTAGTGTCTGACTCACAGTTGACAGGTAGGTGTTGAATATGTAAAGTCTGTAAAAAGATTTGAGCCAATGATTTAAAGCCAACCAGTTTCTCACAGGACCCTGGACCCTGCCCATGACCTAAAATAGCTTCCTTCTGGAATGCTGGTTCACGGGACAAGAGGGTGGGGTGGGGTGGAGTTCTCACTTGCCCTCAAGTCTTTTCCTAACTAGTACGTCTGAGATTAAACTGCACACTTAGGTCCTCATTTGATTCTCATGAAGACTGATTCTTAGAGCATCACAAGCCTCATCCCCGCTCTCCTTACCCCGGGCAGATTTCTTGTTTGTCCCCATATAGGGTGACAATTACTTGGCTCCTGGGGAGACCTGAGCTGTCTCCAAGTTGACTGGCTGATAGGAAGCTCTCGCTCACTGTGCCTTGCGCTTTTAAACAAGATGGTTTGGGCATCATGAACCCGTGCCAGGCTTGTTTATGGGTGCCGACGCAGGCTCACCTCGGAAGTTCCGGGTAAAGAGACTCAGCACCAACTGTCTATCAGAGGGGACGGACGGTTTGTGACCTGTCAGTCAAGGACCGTGGCATTCCTTTAAAGGGAGAAAAGGTTGAAAGATCACGGCTTAGTAAGGTCCTGAAACTCACACCCAGGTGTCCTCAAGGGTGTTCATTCTCTGTCATGGAGTGGATTCTGACTCAGCCACCTTTGTAGGTCAGGGAGAGCTGACCCTGTGGGTTTCCAAGACTCAACTTTTTATGGCAAAAGGAAGCCTTGTCTTTCTCCTGAGAGGCTGGTGGCTTCGAACTGCTGACCCTGTGGTTCACAGCCCCTCCTGTAACCGCTATGCTACAAGGGGTCCCGACTACACTTGAATCCCAGCTCCAGGTTTAGATGTACATAGCGGGCCTTGGCCATCCCTCCACTAGACGGGACCAGGCCCTGGGGCCTCACAGGAAGCGGGCATGTGTGGATACCAGGGCATTTGGGGTCCTGGTACATGCTGCCTCATTCCGTCTGATACTGGTGGCGGGAGTTGCTGTGAGGACTGCCCTCAATCAGAGCTTGCGGCCCAGCCCTCTCATCGTGGGGTGACCCAGGTCAGGGGCAGCCTCTGGGGACTTTTCCTTCTAACACCGGGGCCATTTGTCCTGGTGGCCTGAGTGGGGACCCCAGGCAGTGCCCTTCCTTCATGTTCAACTTCCGGTGGTTCACCTACATTGTGAGACTAGCCAACAGGTGGCTAGTCCCAGGGCTGGGGCAGGGGCTCCCGGCACATGGCAGGTGCTATGGGTGGTCAGGTCAGAAACGGCCAGCCCCACACGCTCCTGTCCCCTCCCACGCTCATGTGACCCAGCAGAATGTGGAGTTAGCTGTCTGCTCTTGCCCCTGCTGCCTGAAGGCAGTGGGAGGGTGGGGCGTTTCTGCACCCCTGCCCCCCCCCCATCTGAGCTTGAGATCTGGACACCAGAATGACTGGACCCTGCTCCACCTCTGGGGGTGTGGCCTGCTCTGGCAAGTGGGATGCTGAACCCACTTTCCAGGACGTAGTTGACAAGGCAGGGTGTGGGGAGGGGGTGCAGGCACCCCAACAGCATCACCCTTGACCCCATGTGCCCTGAACCCTGCCCCCAGACATTCAGTGAGGTAGCTGGATTTGACCCTCTGTTACAGGGGGTCACATGAGGCAGGAGAAAATGCAACAGCTCGCGTTTAATAACAGCATACAAAACCCAGAGGTGGACCCCGGGGTCGCCCTGTCACTGAGCACAAGCCCTCCAGAGGCTGCAGGCCAGGACCAGGGGGGCCAGCCCGTCCTCTTCCTCAATCCCCCAGGAGGACCTGCACATGCACCCCACCCAGAAACAGCCCGAGAGACCCCTCCTTCATTCATTCCCAGGGGACAGAGGCTTGTGGCTGGAGACAAATGTGGGCTGCACCGTCCCAGATGGAAACGCCTTTGGCTGGGGGGCAGGCTGCCCAGCCCATCTTGTTCTTAGCCTCTGGGAGCAGGTCCGAGATGGGGACCAGCTGGCACGCACAGTTCCAGCAGGAACACCCAGGAGACCAGGGAGCAGCACGCCTCCCCCTCCCCCAGCCCCCAGGAGGGGCTCTACCCAGAACCTTCCCCGGGCAGGGGTCCCGCTCTCCTCCAGCCCTGCCCTCAGGTCCAGGCTCAGTGGCCCCTCAGGGAGGCCCCTGCAGGAGGTGGGGGTGGGGGCTGCAGGCGTGTGAGTTGGTGTTCTTTGGCTGGAAGCAGAAGGCCATTCTGGCTGGGGGTCAGGGCCTCTCTGGAACTGAGCATGGGGTGAGGTATTCCCAGCACAGACAAAACCGTCCTTCTTGGGTCCCTCCCATGGTGGGCCGCCAGTGACCGAGGGGTAAACCAGGGCGAGTGGGCGGGTTGGGAGGCTGGCGTTCATGGGCAGGATGTGGACGGTCTCCCGGGGTCCTCCAGCCAGGGCGGGGGGGGCCTGCTGCTCGTAGGACACTCTCGAGGTCTCTCTCTCTTTCTCTCTGGGCTTCGTGGAGAGGCTGGTCCCCGCATGGTCGGTAGTGGGTGGTGGGCGGTGGGATGGGGCAGGAGCAGAGCCAGCAGGGGGAGGAAGAGGCACTTCAGTTTGGGCTGGTGTTGGTGGAGTTGGGCCCACTCTGGCCAGGCCCAGCACTGGCTGTCACAGAACCCAGGGCGGTGGCACAGGTAGGCACTTGGCAGCACTCCCAGGGCTGGGCAGGCCAGTGGCGCTGCTGGGACTCGGCGCCGCTAGGTCATCAGGATGGGCTTCTGCCGGACTTCCAGGATGTCTGGGCGAGTGGGAGCAGGGAGACAGGAGGAGTGGGTTCAGCCTGCCGAGCCTTCAAGCCGGTTCCCAGGCCTTGTCCGCACCCACCCAGGGGTTCACATGCACTTCCACCTGGGCCTGCTGGGACCACCCAATGACAGAGGAGACCAGGACAGGTCCAGGGCACCAGGCCACGCACCAGGGCAGCCACTCGGATAGGGCAGGTGGGGTACGAGGGGGTGAGTGAGGGAGGCCTTTGGCACCCACAGACCCCCTACCCCAGGCCTCGGACGCCTGGACTCTATGACACAGGAGCCACTGGGTGGACCTGGCCAAAAGGCTGCAGCAGTGGCCCTCCGACCAGAAGCGCAGTCGGCACACAAGGGAGTCTGCCTGTGGGCCGCTACCTGTTAGGATCCGGTGCAGCGGCAGCGTGACGTAGGTCAAGTGTGCATAGAGAAGGAAGTTCCCGTCAACTCTGTTCAGCTTCAGCCAGGACCCCACCAGGGACCGCCCCGTGCCAGACAGGGACCTCGACCGCAGGTTGGTGGCGTTGTGCAGGTCAGCTGAAGCGGGGAAGGCGAGGTGCGGGCTGGGCGCGACCTCCACGCACCCTCGCTGCCCTCTCAGTGCTCCTTCCGGGGCTACCTCCAGTGAGGCTCCGGTGCACCAGAAGGGCCACCTCCACCTCCACCTGGGCACACCTCCGCTTCCACCTCTCCTCATGCCCCCCAAATCTTTTGTCCCCAGAAATCTGCGGGGGGTGTCTGGGTGACCCTTGCCTGTCTCGGGGACCCAGGCACAGAGAATGGGTCTGCAGCACATGGGGAGCGAGGCCGCACCTTATGATCCAGTGTGTGTGTGTGCGTGCGTGCTGGGGAGCACTTCACAGCGGGGCGGGGGCAGACTGGGGCAATAACCAGCACTTTCTTACTGCTGTGGAGGAGAGGAGGGGTACCCTGTGATCACACTCATTACATGCAAGGTCGGCCGGCAAGGGGAGTGGGGAGTTGTCTCCTAAGCCTGGGAGGGGTCTCAACTCCAAGCCCTGTCCCCTGCCCATGGACTGAGGTCTCCCACAACTGCCCATTGTGTGCCCACTCAGCACGTGTGTCTGACACTCACAGGGCTGCTGGGGCCTCTACACCTGGCTGCAAACACACACCCCCACCACTCCCCACACCCTCATCCAGACTCCCACGGGCAGCGGGCGGTCACCTCCACCGTCGTCCTCCCTGAAGAACTCCTCGCTGTCGTTGGCCGAGTGAGACTTCTTCATCTCGGCCATCAGGCTCCGGGGCACCTTCCTTTTGAGGGACGGTGAGAAGAAGGTGGGCCGACTGTTCCGCTCCGGGGTGGGGGGCGTGCTGAAGGAGGTCACCTGGGGACAAGGGGCCTCTGTCACGGCAGCAGCAAGGGCTGCCTGGGGGAGCACATGGCCGGAGCAGGAGGTGACAACTGGGTCTGGGCAGCCCCAGTGGACGCTGGGGGTTGCGCTTCTGCTCAGAGGCCAGCGGGAGGACCAGGACACAGCCCACCCTCAGGTAACAGACGCCCCTCCTCCAGGCCTCAAGCGACGGTGGGTGACCGTTCACTGTTCAATAAATCTGTATTGGCCACCCCACACTGTGGTAGTGACGTGATTCGTGCAACGTGAAGATACATGAAAGTGAGGGGGTGGATTCAACCTGTGTATCAGGTCACAGCCTGACGGGGGCTCCTTGTGGGCATGGCCTTCTCATAAGGAGGGTCCTGGGAACCTCCCCCTCCTCTCTGCCTTCACCTTCCTGCTGGCGGACCCTGACGGCAGCCAGAGCCCCTGCCACTGGATCCACAGGACTCTGCACCCACATTCTGCATCACTGCTTGTCGCTGTGTGAGTCTGAGGGGGGCCTTACGGACTAGTATCGGACTTAGGGAATTGAGGTGGACGGGCTGGGATGTTTCCTTGATGTACAATGACTTCTTGATATAAAGCTCTTTCTTACACATGTGTGTCAACAGATGTGTTTCTTTAGCCAACCCAACCTAACAGACACCCTACTCCCCACCCACATCCCATCCCGCCACTTCAGGGTATCACTGAGCCCCCTCCACACACACACACACCACCACACCCTCCCCTGAGACCAAATTAGTGCTAGCCCATTTAATACGTGGGGAAATGAGGATGGGGTCCCTGCCTTGGCTCCTCCCTAGATGCTGCAGCCCATGCCTCCAATCAGGCCACACAGCTCACAAAACCCTCCCCTCAGGTCACCCCATGCTTACTCACTACCCACCCATAGAGCTCCCCACATGCCCTCCTCAGCCCATTCAGTACCCCCTTCAGCTCAGCGCACGCGCGCGCACACACACACACACACACACACTCACACACACAACTGGGTCAGAAGGGTGCCGTGCCAGGACAGACAATACATGGCACTGGTTCCTGCCCTCAAGGAACTGATGGGCTTGGGCCATGGCAGTCCCCACGAAGAGGCAACTGTCAAGATGGACAGAGGAGGGCGCTGGGCACAGGCAGCACAAAGGCGAAAGGGGATCCAAGGCGGCTTCCTGGAGGAGGAGGTGCGGCTCGAGCTGGGTCCGAAGGACGAGTAGGAGTTCGCCGGGTGAAGAAGGGGGGGAAGGGCGTTCCAGGAAGAGGGAACTTGGCCCATCTCCTCCCTCCTCCCCATGCAAACAAGAATCTGTAGAACAAGGTGCGCTGGCTGTCAAGTCTTGGAGATGGCCGGGTCTAAGCTCCAGCTCCCACCTAGGTCCTGATGTCCGCTGGGCTGCAGGGGGTCCACACGCCAGGAACCCCAGACGAAGTTTGTCCTGGTCACGAGCTGGCCACAGCGGGCCCCTCCAGAGGAGGAGGAAGGCTACAGCTCACGCAGAGGTCGAGGCCCAGGATGTCCCCAGTGGCAGGGTCGGGCCTGCCACTGCCCACTCCTACCCCAAGGTTCCAGTGCTTACACACACACACACACACACACACACCACCCCCAGACACACACACAAACACACACACCAACCCCACCCCCAGACAGGGGCTCACCACTCCCACAAGACAGACTGGAAAACCAAGGTCCCAAAAAGCACGTGGTAGTCCCAGGAAACATGTTTTCACCCCCAGCCCCAACCCCTCCCCGCCAGCGTCCAGCTGCGCCTCCTTCACTTCCCACGCGTGTCAGGATGATGCAGGCCCAGCCTGTTTCGGGGGCCCAGCGGTCGTCTCTCAGAAGCTAACCCTAACAACGAATCCGCCTGGATCCCAAAGACCAGCGTCTCCCCAGCGCCTCCCAGTCTTTCTGAGTGCAGGGTGGCTGCTTGCACAATACAGTCACTGAGTGAGGAAAGCCCCACAAAGGGGGGATGTGGGGAGAGGAGCCTGTGTGCCCTGCCCCTTCCACAGCTCGGACAGCAGAGCAGAGCCCTGCCCACGCTGGCCTGGCCTCGGATGAGCGAGAGCCATGGTGGCCGCTGCTGGCAGTCCGACAGAAGCAGGAGCCGCCCCCATTCTCAGAGGAAGAGGTGCTTGCCCACCCACACCGGCTCCCCGTCACACCCACCACCCTAGATCCCCCCACTCTGAACAGCCGAGGAAGGCGACTCGGCCGAGGGATCCCGTGGAGACAGAGCTGCACTGACAGGGCTTCCTGCCCTGAGGGAGGATGGTGGCCGGGCAGAGTGGGCGCAGTTATCTGGAGAGTTGCAGTGTTTGTAAGGCTGGGTCCAGCCTGCGGCTGGGAGCCTTGCATCAGTGAAGCTAGGGCCCTACATCCTGTCCCTTCCAGATGACTGGCCTGCCCCTGCTGTGTGACCATGGGCCAGCCACAGCTGTCTGCGCCTTGGCCTCCTCACATGATGGACAGCGGGGACCAGGGAGGCGTGGACAGAGCCCAAGGACCCAGCTCTCCCCGCCAACAGCCCTTACCCGCTCGTGCATGGGCGAGGCTGGGCTGGAGTCCTCAGTGCCGCAGGGGGACGTGTCCCCGGTGGGCACTCGGCTGACAGCCATCTCGGCATGGCCCTTGCCCTGGGGCCCCTTCATGCGCACAAACTCCATGTTGTTGTACTTGTAGAAGCCAAAGGACATCTTCTGAGCCATGCGGGCGGCCACGCTCACCTGCAGATGTAGGACACGGAGGGTCAGTGCAGCAGGCAGGGCAGCCACTGCCATCGTCCCCACTAGCCCAGGGCAGCCAGCACGGGATGTCTTCTGACTGCCAGTCCCCAAGCTTTGCTGTCCAAGCCCCAGCAGTGGGGGAAGGAGAGGGGTAAAGGGGTGTCTGTCACAGCAGCAGCATTTAAGTGACAAAGGCAGGGGTGGCCCCCCCCTCAACTGCTTATGGAAGGAGGTCTAATCATGAAGAAGGGACCAGACCGGAAGGGTAGCTGTTTGGGGTGGGGGCAGCTAGAGAACCATGATACTGGGTTGTCATGTCACGGGGGTGGGGGGGTGTCAGAGCAAGTGCACACATTAGACACTGAGCTGGGGCAGTCAGAGCAGAGGTGGACTCTTGGACGCTGGGCTGGGGCAGCTAGAGAACCAAGGGGGGCCTGCAGATGCTGGGCTGGAGCAGCTAGAGCTGGTGGGGTGGTGAGGGTGAGGGTGGAGGGGCAGCCGCTGGGCTGGGCCTGGGCGAGCATGAGGCATGCTGGGAGTGTCAGGGCGGCAGGAGCAGAAGGGGCGGGCCGGGTGCCCAGGCGGCACTCACTCTGTTGTCATACACCTTCTTGAGCGCCTCGTAGCGGATGGAGCCCTGAAAGATGACCCCCTGGAACGTGTTGGTTTTGTCACTGGCCACCAGCTCCACGCAGACCATCTCTCCTTCCCCCACGGTCATGTCACTGAACACCTGGGGCAGGGGGCAAAGGGGCATCAGCCTCCTCGCCCCCCCAGCCACAGCCTGCCCACCCTTCTCTCGCCAGTGGATTGTTTAGAAAAGACATTCACACGAGGGCACTCGGAGTCAGAACTGCAGAGACACTGTCCAAGGTCACGCAGCTCTCCCACCACACGTCGGGCGCAGCTGGCGGGGATGGGCTAGGCTCAGAGGGGCAGCTCCGGCGGGCCTTCTACCAGCACTGCCTCATGGTCCTAGGGTGTCAGGCCATTTTCTGGGCTCTCCCTGAGTGCATGTGTGCACCCCTGGGAGATGCCTGGATGTGTGTGTCATGGCCATGCGTCAAGGCCAATGTGGGCCTGCCCAATGCTGTCCTGCCTGGCTCTGTAGTCTGGCAACAGACCCAGGGCTCAGGGAAGGTGCCTACTGCCCCTTACTTCCACCGTCCCTGACCTCCACTGCCCTTGATCTCCACCGCCCCTGACCTCCAGATACGCTTTAAGTCAACATCCCACCAATCAAGGCACCACCAGTCGGAAGAGACCTGAACACACCTGGTGTTTCCTCCCACGGTTGCTGGCTCGTGTTTGGTTTTGTCTCCTTCATACGTTTACCTGTATTGCGTGAAGGTCGACAACCCTAAAGATCTTTCCTGCCATCACCACCAGGTCACCCCAGGGGGTGAGAGACCACAGAGGGGGCTAAACGAGGAGTCCCAATGGTCTCCTCCCTGCTCCTGCCCATGTCCGTATGTGGCCGGGCGAGTCACCTTCAGCCTAGGCCCCCCCCCCCCTACCCCACCCCCGTTCTCCCTCCCAGGCCCAGATAATGCTGTCCCACACTCTGCCATGCTGGGACCCCGAGTCGGCGGCTGACGCCTGTACTTGTAATTACAAGCAGGAGTGGGAACCCGCCTGCTTGCCAGACACGTTTCAAGGGTTTACGATGCGTCTGCCCATTCAGGCTTCCTATGATCTTCAAGCCCCCTGGGGTAAGTGGGGCAGTGCCCGAGGCGAGCTCCTTTTACAGGTGAAGAGACTGAGGGTGGGCCAATGCACCCGCCCCGCATCCAAGCCGCTGGTGTGGCTGCAGTCCCAGCTCTCACCTCCTCGAAGCTATCGATCATGAAGAAGATGTTGGGGTAGCTGATCTTGGACTCCTCCTCCCCCTTGCTGTCCATCGGGTGCTTGCTGGGTGAGGCGAACACTTGCTGAGAGAAAGGAGAGTTTGAGGACTGAGCGAGCCACCCTCCCCGAACATCCCCCTGGCCCAGCCACAGTGTCACATTGCTCTCAGCCAGCGGTTCACAACCTGTGGGTCGAAACCCCTTTTGGGGTCAAACGACCCTTTCACAGGGGTCACCCGATTCATAACAGTAGCAACATTACAGTTACGAAGTAGCCACAAAAAGAGTTTTATGGTTGGGGGGGTCACCACAACATTAGGAACTGTATTAAAGGGTCGCATCATTAGGAAGGTTGAGAACCACTGCTCTAAGCCATCGAGAGCCAAGGAGAACCACCTGAGCCTGGTGTTGTTTGGGGACAGGGAATGAACTGGGCCCTGCCTGGGAAGGAGCGGGTTCAGGGTTCGGTGCTCACCTGGGATTTCTTCCTGTGGATGTGAATGTCACCCCCATCGGAGCGCGTGCACACTGCACAGGTGACCAAGTAGTCCAGCTGGGGAAGAGGGGCGGCGGCCATGAGGTGGGGTGGTCCCTAGAGCCCCCTCCCCACCTCCAGCCCACCCCTTGCGCCATCCCCCAGCACCTTCTGCAGGATGAGGTTCAGGCAGACGCTCTCCTCCCAGTCAATGTCGGGGTCCCCCAGGCCGGGCAGCTTCTTGGAGTCCCGCCTGTATACCTCCACTTCCACCTCGGGCTCGGGCTCTGCCAGCTGCCGGTAGGGATGGAGGTGAGCACCCTCTGCACCCGACTCCCCTCCTCCCCGCCTCCCCACCAGGGGCCAGATCCCGGTCCTGTGCCTCGATTTTCCAGCTACACGATTCTCTGGTGCCTCAGTTTCCTCATCTGCACAAGGGGCCACCAGCAGTGGTCATTGATTGAGACCTTGCTCTTCATTGATTTTATATTTGAATTGCAAATGATGCCATTCATTACAATTAGCAGTTAATTACTAGCTACTGAGAAGGAGGAGGCTGTATGCTTCCGATAGGATCGTTGCGAGTCTGAATGGGTGGACCGGCAGTGGCGAGTGGGTTCGAACTCATAGTCTTTTGCTTCGTAGCCAAGCACTTACACACCGCGCGATAGGGAGGCCGGTTGTAAAAGGTGCTGCCAATCAAATACACGTACGCTGAAGAAAAACCCCAAACTAAACTCACTGCGATCGAGTCGATCTGACTCACAGCGCCCTGTAAGGGCAGGGGAGAGCTACCCCTGGGGGTTTCTGAGACTGCCACTATTAATGGGAGTCTTTCTCCCGCAGGGTGAGGGGAAACCAGAAGTTGCCCCAGACCCTCCGACCCTCCGAGGAGGAGGAATCCGAAGCAGCTAAGGCTGCCACCTGTCTTGCCCTCCACCCATCCCCCGAGCGCAGGGCGTCCCTCCCTAGGAGGGGCTGGGACTCCTGGGGTCCCCCCGCGGGGACCCCAGCATCCTGCAGCGCCACCTTTCCCGGAGCCGCTCACCCAGCTCCAGCTCCGCCTGCGTAGATGCCACAGCCCAGGCTGGTTACCATGGCAACGGGGCGCCAGCTCCGCCCAGAAGAGGGCCTTGGCTTGCTGCAGAGGGCTCACAGTGCGCAGGCGCCTGAACTGGGCCTGCCTGGGAACTCCCTCTCCTGTATCATTCTCCCCTTCCCGTACCCACCCCTATTCCAGGGCGGAGTCTAAGGAGAGGGGTGGGCTTGGGGTGGCTTCCATGTCCACGCTGCTGGTCTATGTCCTGTCCCCACCTGCGTCCACGCAGCTAGCTAGCCTGGGATGTGTCCCCAGCCCTCCTGCCTCTGCAGCCAGGGTCCCTCAATGTAGGGGCCATATCGCTGCTGCTGCTTCGCCCATCCCCACCCCCACCCCAACCCTGTCCTTGCTGCCACCCCGACTGGACTGCTAACCACTGGCACAGCGCACTCCATGGGTGGGTGGGCCACGGGGCACCAAGATTTTGCACAAAGAACTGAAGTCAGACTGGAGGGAGGGGCCGAGAGGGTAGTTTGGGCTGAGTTTCAGCTTCCTGTCTGTGAGGGGGGTGGCGTGCCTGCACCGGGGCTGTCACCCCCACCTGGGGCCCCATTAACCCCGCATGCTAAGCCTCCGGGGGGTCCATAGCAAGGGAGCCCCCAGCTACAGAAGGCCCAGAAAGGGGCGGACCTGTCAAGGTCCCCACCAGCTCCAGTGGCCATTCTGATTCGACTAGAAAGCTGGTCTCTGTCTTACACTAAGGTGACCAGATGTTAACACTGGTAAAGCGGGACACCATTGATGAAACTCATATCCTGGCGAAATAGCCACACGGCAGCCAAAAACTGTACTGTACACCCTAGCTTGTTGTGCATTCTTTCAAAAAATCGGGACTTTTAAAAAATGCTGTGGGATGCGGGACAAATTGTTAAAAATCGGGACTGTCCCGCCAAAAGCGGACGTCTGGTCACCTTATCTTACACCTGGGATGGCCATGTGGCCAGGGGCTGAGCAGTGTAGAGTGGGCTCAGCTCAAGGGGTCCCCCAACACCTGCCACCTAGGACCACCAGCCGGTGCTTCTCTGCAGCCAGCTGCGGGCCCTGAGAGACTCTGAGGCCCTCTCCCCTTGCCAGGGGGGCAGGCCAGGCTTCCTCCTTGCCCACCCCCCTGGCCCCCACCTCTCAAGCTGGGCCCTCATGGTCCCTAGCTCATGACTCTGCCCCAGCCCCATCAACACCCAGAACCCCTGATCACTGCCTCCGCCTCTAGCCACTCAGCAGTTCAGACAGACAGACAGACAGCCAATGACCATTGCTGTCTGATGGGCTTCGACTTCTCCACCTCCACATCCCTGACTGAGCACCAGCAAGGGGACATCTGCTCCCTCCCTACCCACCCCCCCAGGTCAGGCTTAGCTCTAGGCTGGTGCCCCACACCCCATTGTGCAGTGATGTCCTGTGGGTCACAGGGTGGATGGAGCTCCAGGGTCCACGCACTCTGTGAGTCAGGCACACTTCTTCCAGCCCTTCCTCTCCACCCCTCCCCCCTCTCCCTGCCTGGCCAGCAGCCCTGGCCAGCCTCCTGCTTCCTGGGAACCCCTCCAGCCCTCTTCCCACCTGCTGGGAAGGTCTCAAGAGGCTCTTCCTCTGCTGGCTTGGTGCCTGCTTCCCAGGGGTGGGCCCATGACCTGGTCCTTAGCCCCACCCTTGACCCATCTTATTGTGGCCCCCACACCAAGCAGGGCCACAGCTGACTAGGGTCTTTCCTGACTTCGGGGCCACTCTGCTGGGCCACACTTTCCACTCCTGCCCCTCCCCTCACCCAGAGGCCTCTCCTGCCCTGCCCAGAGGGGCGGCTCCAGGGACCCGCTTCTGTGTTGGCGGCCCCTGCTCCCTGAGGGTCAGGGGCTCCTAGTGTCTCACTAGTCACAGGGGCCAGCCCCTGGGGCTTCTTGAGGATCACACAGCTGAGTCATGCCAGCCGTGGGGCTGCCAGGCCCAGAAACCAGCAGGGCAGGTGGTCACAGAGTCATAGTCCCTCTGGGGACACCCTGAGGTGCAGCACTTAAGTGTTGCTAGGCTGCTAACTGAAAGGTGGGTGACTGATGTCCAAGGACACCAGAGAAGAAGTGACCAGGCGAAGTGGCTCTGTAAAGAACGGCAGCCTTGAAAACCCCATGGCGGGTGCTCGGGCAGCTCTGTTCTACCCTACAGGGTGGCCATGAGCCTGGACAGCAGCCTGTGTGGTTAGGGGTCTCCTGCACCCACCAGTCTGGGACTGAAGAACAGGCACACGGCAGGGGATGACTTTGAGCCTCCAGGGTGCAGCCACAGCTGAGGGGCCACGGCCACTGAGCCCCCACCTGGCTCCCCACCCTGATCCAGACCTCCCTCACAGGTTGTCTAACTGAACACACCCGGAGAACTGCTCCCGCTGCTGAAAAGCGAAGGACACAGGCAGGCTCTTTACCAAGGGCTCTTTACCCTCTGCACCCACATCCTCTGGCCAGCACCTCCTCTCCCTGAGCCCCTAGGTTCCTCACCAGTAAAAATGGGGTCACCACAGCCGGCCCAGGGGCTGACGAACAAAATGGGCTTATAAAGTGGGGGCCTGACCACTGGGAGTGGTGGACAAAAATTGTGGCCATTTGTACCACCATCCTGCATGATCATCCTCACCACGCTGTCCAGTCAGTTGCCCCTGCCCATGGTCAGGGGGCAGACACAGCCCTGCCCTGCCCACCGCTGTCCAGTGGACTCTGACTGAAGCTGTACAAGCTGAGGGCCTCATCTATCTTCTGGCTGGGGGCCTGACCCGCCCACCTTTAGCGGCCCAGTGCTTTCCCCACTGCGGCCCTTCTGAGCGCTGCCCTACCGCCAAGTCTGAGGTCAAACAACCCTGTCTTGGAAGAAGTACAGCCAGAGAGCTCCTTCGAGGCCAGGAGGGGAGTCTCGGTCTCATGTACTTTGAACCTGTTGTCAGGAGAAACCAGTCCCAGGAGAAGGGCAGCAAGAAAGGGAGGAAGGCCCTGGACAGCATGGACAGACGGACACATGGCTGCAACCATGGGCTCACACACGGGAATAACTGTGAGGGTGGCACAGGGCACAACCCGGCACCTAGGAATAGGAACCCAACCAGGGCCCCGGCCAACAACTAGGGCTGAAAGTGTGGGCCTGGTGGAGGTGGAAATGCCCCACAGCCAGGGGGAGTGTCCCCACGTGTTCCCCTAATGGCAGGGGGTATATGGTCAATCCCCAGGAGTGGGCTGTGCACCAGGGCCCCCGGCAGGGCACCCACCTTGCTGCCCTCGGGGGTGCCGCTCTCGCTGCTGCTGCCGCTGGGGAAGGCCCGCTTCCGGCGCACGTAGAAGAGCATGTCGTCCTGCTGCGGGGCCCAGCTCTCCATGAAGTAGGTGGAGAACATCCACGTCCAGAAGACGATACGGTCGTCCTTGAAGCACCCTGCGGGCGCGTGCGAGTGAGAACAGGGGCGTGAGAAGGGGGGGGCGGGGGGCACCCCCTTCCACCAGGGTCCCGGAGATGTCCTCCCTACTCCTTTCACCCGGTGGGCGTCCAGACAGGCTGAAGGACACCGCGGGCGTCCTCCCAGAGGACCCATTTCCTCGGGGCAGCCTGCGGATGAATCAGCAGCTTCCGGGAGAACTGGCGCATGGCCTCACGTTCATGGTCCCCGCCTGGCGGAAGGCTCCGCAGTGTGAGCTCCTCCGCTGCCTCCCTCCTCCTCCCAAGCATCCCCATCCCCATCCCCAGGCTCCCTCCCCCAGGTTTCCCACCTCCCAGGCATCTTCCCCCAGGCTCCAGGCTCCCAGACAACACCCCCACCCCCCACCCCTCCTACAAGCAGTGGCAGCTCCGAGTGGGGAATGGATTTAAAGGGGCAGCATCAGGAGCTGCCTGCCTGGGCTTCCACGCCCCTGGTTTCCACAGCCCTTCACCTCCAAGGGCACCTCTCCCTCCATCTGCCACCAAAATGCCAAAGCTCACCAACGATGAGACAGGTCCCGCCCTCCCCAGGGCCCTGTCGGGCTTATAAATGCCTCCAGAGAGTGGGGCTGGATCACACTTCAGGGCCCACAGTCAGTATCAGCATCAGCTACAAGGCGCCCTGGAGACACAGGCTGTCCCACCAGCTGCTCTGAGCGAGAAAGACAAGACTCGAGTCTGCCTAGGAAAGCCTTAGACGCTGTGTCCTCAGGCACCACTTGACTACCAATGGCCCCCTTCATCAGAGGAACCAGCATGCTCCAGCACCCACAAGGTGCTGGTCTTTGAGCAGGCGGCCTCCTGAGGCCAAGGAACCAGCTGAGAAATACAAACTGCTCCCCAGGCAGCTGGTGGCCCCAGAAGGCACTGAATCCAGCTCAGGAGCTGGCTGGGCACATTGACCTGCAGGGGCCCCAAGTCCCCACTCCGATGGTGGGACAGCATTTCTCCACCCTGGCTAATGAGCAGTGTCTTGGCACAGAGTCAGTCATGGGACCCAGGTGGCCTACAGAGTTCACGTGGGCTCTTGGACAGGGACAGAGCACATGTCCAGGGAGCTGGGCCCAGTGCTGGCCCTGACCATCAAGATCCAGAGATTGTGTTTGAAGGAAAGATCAAACACCCCTGCCCACCCAAGTCAGTCTCCTTCCCCGGGGACGTAACAGGTGCCACCCTTGCCCTCCACACCACAGGAGGGTGGGTTTATGAAATCGGAAACCAGGTCTTCCCCTGCCCCTACATAGAACCCCACCCAAAAAAACACTGTCATCGAGTCGATTCCAACCAGAGCAACCCTACAGGACAGGGTAGAACTGCCCCCGTGGCTTTCTGAGACTGTCAAACGTCATGGGAGTGGAAAGCCTCATTTTTCTCCCTCTGAGCAGCTGGGGGTTTTGAACTGCCAACTTTGTGGTTTGCAGGACAACACATAATCCACTATGCCATCATCATAAAATTTAAAGACATTCCAAATTCACACCCCCCCCCACCTCCCCAGTCCCTCCAGAGACCTTCAGGCATGACCTCACTTCTCACCTTAGCAGCCCCCCCACCCCCAACCCTGCTCACAAGCCAGAGAGGTTCCCATGTCCACACTGGCTGTTCAGTGTCACAGGGGTGGGGGCAGTGTCCAGATCATCATTCGCCCCAGACCATGCCTGGCACACCAGGCACTCAGTAAGCGCTGGGTGACTGGGTGCCCCTGCAGTAGCAGCAAACAGGCTCCGAGAGGTGGGTGACAGACAAGGGGGCCTTGGCAGGCCATGGGTCACCAAGCTTGTGGCCATCACCGGGATCTGCCATCTCCTTCCAGCCAGAGCCCCAGCCCTAAGGGGCCTCTTCCAAGAAGTAACTCCATGTGCCGCAACAGCAAGCAAGGTGGTGTTGTCAGGTCAGCTTGGACTAACTGCAAGGACACTGGTTCAAACCCACCAGCCACTCTGAGAGAGAAGGATGAGGCTGGCTGCTCCCAGAAAGATGTATGGCCTCAGAAGCCGTACATAGCATAGGTCCTCAAACAGATTTGTCCAACTGCCTTCTTTTCACCCTCCTCACAATTAAAACATTTCAGGCTATGGCTCAGAATCCAGGATAAGGTGTAAGTATCTCCTTTGCGAGGAGATTGTGTAGCAGTTACGAGTTAGGCTGAAAACCGCAAGGTTAGCAGTTCAAAACCACCAGTGGCAACTTGGGAGAAAGAGGAGGCTTTCTATTCCCATAAAGAGCCCCTTCTACCCTGTCCTATAGTGTTGCTGTGAGTCAGAATCCACTTGAATGGCAGTGGTTTGGCATCTGCTTTTGTGGCCTCCCCCACCCCCAGATCATTCCAGTGCCCCTGCCATGGGGTGGCATCACCCACTTTGGAAACACTGCTATAAAGAGTCACTGAGTCAGAATTGACTTGGTAGGGTGGGGTGGGGAAGCAGGGAAATTGGGGGTGGGAGTGGGAGAAGAGTCCAGAGACCAAACCCCCTGCCCTGCCTGGCTCTCCCAAGGCTCAGAGCAGTGACTCCACCATGGTGGCAAGGGTCAGGTGGGCCCAGCAGGTGCCTTGAGAAAGTGGACCCAGGTGTACCAAGGCCATCCAGGCACCTTCTGCTGCTCCAGAGCCACCATCAATCCTCATGGAAACAGCAGTCAAGGAATCAAAGGACATGTCGCACGGGGCCAATCTGCCGCACAAGACCTCCTGAGAGAATGAAGAAGCCAAGGTGTCACTTGGAGGACTAAAGAGTGCCCGATTCAAGTTAGGGTCCGTGAAAGCTGCACAATGACTCGGAGGCCGAAGAAGGATGGATTGCCTGTGAATGATGGTATTGGCAAGAATATTCCAGATACCACGGGCTGCCAGAAGAATCAACAAATCCGTCCTGGAAGAAGTACGGACAGAATGCTCCTTAGAAACGAGGCTGGCGAGGCTTTGTCTCACGTACTTTGGACACATGACCAGGAAGGACGACTAGTCCCTGGAGAAGGACATCCTGCTTGGTAGAGAGCTGGTGAAAGAGAAGATTGCACACGGTAGTTGCAACCATGGGTTCAAATCTAGCGAAGCCCAAGACTGGGGGTTTCATTCCGTTGGCTGGGTGGTTGCTCTCTGTTGGGATGGGCCCAATAGCACCTGACAGCGACCAGCAGTCCTGGCCGAAGACATGAAGAGCAGCAAGGACCACCCATGGGTGCCCCACAGTTTACAGACTCCTGTTACAGGCTATCGTAGCAAAGATGGGAGGTGGGGAAGACCGTCTTTGGTTTAAAGAAAAGGCCACCAAAGCTCGTGCATGGGGTGACCAGGTGACGTTCGCAGGAACTGACAGGCAGAAGCCGGGATCCAAGCCCTTTTCTCTAACAGCAGCCCTCCTTCTTCCTAAGCCCCACGCAGGGCCCTTGTGCCCACCTTACAGATGGGGACCTGAGGTCTCCTGTGGTCTTGGACCTTCCCATACCACCTTACTACCCTCCTGAGCCCCTTCCCGGCTCTGCCCACCCCTTACAGGGAGGTAGACGGGACATTTGGAGCGCCAATGTTTCTCAGGGTGGTCTGTGACCTCGATGACAGGCAGATGTGAGTCACTCACTTGCAAGGGGCGTGGTCCTCCATTTCCCAGCTGAGAGCGATTCATGACTTTCTCATAGAGGGAGAGAACTTTAAGGTCTTGAAAGACGTTCATGTTAACGTGACCACAGGATGGTGTGTGGGGAGGCCTTTGTCAGACGAGGATCTAAGAGTGGGCTTGATTCATGTGCATGACCCGTGGCTGCCTGTTGAAACTCTAGGACCTTCGGTTTCTTCATCGGTGGAATTGGGAAAGGGCGGGGTCCCTCCCATGGTTGCCATGGGGAGTCAGAGGGATAAAACAAGAGGCTCAGCAGAGCAGATGGTGCAGAGTGATAACTAACCTTAACCTAACCCCACTGTAGACATTATCAGTAAATTGGAACGATTTTCCATTAACCAGGCCTTTGCTTAGGAGGCATTCCTTCAAACCAGCTCCAACCCTCTTTTAACACACGGTCGATACAGTAAAGCCCTCATTAAAATAGTCCACAGCCCCCAGGAGGACTTGAAGCACTTGCTGATGAAGATCAAGGATTGCAGCCTTCAAGATGGATTGCGATTCATGGTAGGACCAAAAGCTTCACAACTAGACCAGTAGGTGACATGATCACTAGAGGAAAGATGGATGTTGTCAAGGGTTTCATGGATCGGCAGGTGTGGTAGTTACATAATCTGGTGTTAATTGGAAAATTAAGAGTGAAGGGGTAGAGTCTAGTCTGTCAATCAGGTCATAGCCAATGAGGCCTCTGTGTGGGCATGCATGGCCTTCTCCTGAGGATTCTGGGAACTCGGGGATTTTCCTCCCTAGAGGCAGGAGACACTCTCTCACACTATCTACTACTCCCTTGGAGACTCTCTACTGACAAGACTCAAGACTCACTCCCTGAGAGACGCTCTATTGACAAGACACATGGCACTACGCTGATAGACCCTGTGCCCTGGGAACTGGAGGAGCCACGTGGAGACCCCTGCCAGCGCTGAGATGCTTCTCCCACCACTGGATCCACACGTCTTCAGACCCACTGACCTGTGATCTTGCATTTGGCATCATTGCATGTGTTCTGTGAGTGTGAAGAGAACTTTATAGATTGATATCGGACATACGGGCTAATATCGGATTTATGAACTTGATCTGGACTGGGCTGGGATGTTTTCTCAATATTCAATTGCTCTTGTATATAAAGCTCTTTCTTATACACATATGAGTGTCTACGAATTTGCTTCTGTAGTCTACCAAGACTAACACAGCAGGTTTTTGGTGCAGACGTTATATATTCAGAAACTCAAGGATGCATGGAAACTTAGTCTGAAGGACTAAGGGACCACACAAACCCAAGTCTCCATGACCCTGAGACCAGAAGTAGATGTACCCTGCCACTACCAGCTACTCCAAAACGGGGCCCCATAGGAGGTCCTGGACACCGTGGGAGGAGAATGCAGTCATCAGCGAGACTGGGCTGACTGGTCTGCCCCAGCTGACAGAACTGCAGAGTCACCCTGCAGGCTTGGAACTGAATTTACTCCTGGGGCTCAGTTCTCAGCCAAACAATACAGTCCTGTGGGGTGAACAGTTCACTG